CGACACCGCCAGCCCGATCGCTGCGGGTGGTGGGTGGCTGGGGAAGTTGGTGGCACACACGCCATCTTCTGCCTCCACAAGGGTGGGGGAACACTGTCATAGAGAACAGAGCAGGTCACTGTTTCTTCCACCTGCTACGTTTCAAGAGAATTACATTCAGTCTTTGAACACGGAGTTAGGCTGGGGGCCAAGGAGGACGAACAGGAGGGGGGAATCCCACTGTCCAAATGCAATGCTGATGAAAAATCATCTCACTCATTAGGCCAGCTTTGCAGATTAGTGTTCTTCCCTGAGCCAAAACCAAAAGCACCAAATAGGAACTAGAGAGACGCCCTGGGAGCTGGGTGGATTCATTCAGAAGCCTTTCCAGGGATTTCTGGATTAGGAATCTTCAATTAATCTAAGCATTTTCATCCCATTACACCAGGGTTGGGGAGAAGGCATTCCGAACCTCAGCCAGCACAGCTGAACCTGAGAGATCCTGGAGCAACAGTTGAGCAACATCTGGAGAACTTCAGCTTCCCCCCTCTATGTTAGTAGGGTTTATGCTTGCATATGAGCACTCTCTCTCCTGTGGGTTAATTTGGAGAAGCAAAACCACTCAACAAAGAGAGTCTAAAAGTACAGTGCTTAACTAATCGCACAGCAAAGATATAATACCTGCTATATCCTGAAGATAAATGGAGCAGCACAGTTTAATATGTTTGGCTTTGCATTGAATGAAAACATGGGTGGGGTGAACTGATCCTGCCAACTTCCCTTTTATCCATGGCAAAAGCCCAATAAACTTCATTCAGACATGGAGTCGACCTACAGCTTATGGGCCATCCTTGCAAGACCTCTCACTTCCTGTTTCTTATCTGGTTGAATTAACATCTGGCCATTCACCTTCATCTGTTCTCAGGTGTGAATGTCCCAATTCTCCAGGCCATCTGCTCAGAAGCATCAAGAAGTTCCACTGTTGGTCTAAGACCAGAATAAGCAACTCAACAGCTGCATCCCAAAGGGGGTGGGGCCAGGGGCTGGGGCCAAAGGGCAAAGTGGGCGGGGCAGTGCATGAAAAAAGAGTCTAAATATCTCCCTAATCAATGAAATACACAAGGAAATAAAATTAATATTTTGCATGGCCAAGCATGCTTTAAAAGAGATCTGAAAGATGGTGTGAAAGTATAGGTGGACAGGAGAACACGCTCTATTTATGACATTGCTACCCAATACTTTTTCTTCTCTAAATTAAACTGATTTGAGAGAGGGAGAAGAGACATACATTCAATCCATTTTACCCCTGAATGAGATTAAGATGAACAACAAAAACCAAGAGCTGTTTCAGAGATCAATGGACTTTTTCAAACATCCACATCTTTTATTTTCTGAGAATTTCTGCCTGCTCTCTTGCTAATTTCTCTCTTCTCTTCTAGCCTCCGAGTTGACTGGCACTAGAAACACTGCACAGATGCTAGGAAGTTGCATAAGAATCCTGAGAAATTTAACTAAAAAAAAAAAAAAGTGGTTTGGGGGAAAAAAAAGGCATTTTCTGCAGGGTGCAGCTTCCCTGAGTAACTCATTGCTTAACCTCACTGCAGAAAACCTTTCCTCCTCTCCTACACGTCACTCTTATTTTCACAGGCATATAATTGGGACATGTTCCTCCAGTATGTGCTCTTATCGGTGCTCTCTGCTAGTAGGAATAAAGCTACTTTCTGGTGGCTGAAGTTGCAGCAATGTTTTAAAAAAGAGAGCTGACATCAGAGAGGATGAATATTGTTGACCTGGGCAATCTGAGTTGAAATTGGGGGGTGGGGGTGTAAAGACGGAGTAACGTGGGAGAAACAGCACAGGATATCTCACCCGTGTGCATATTGTTTCAGGAAATGCAAATGCGATCTGTTTACATTCAGAGCCGGCTCTCCTGTTAGGTAACACAAGCCGCCTAGAGTCACTTATACAGTGAGATGGGCAGGGTAGAAATTTGATAAAAAAATAAAATAAAATAAAAGCAGAAAACTGGAGCTAAGCCCTGCCACCACAACCCCCAATCCACTTGGAGGAACCAGGTTGCAGATTGAGGTCCTACTGGTCCCATTATCAGAAGCAAAGAAATTCTGCAATTTTCCTACTAGCTCTCATTGATTCGGACGAAGGAGGATGAGCTTCTGAACAAGGATTGTGAATTCCTCTCAGCATTTGGAATCAGAATTTGGAATTCCTTCCAAAGGAGAAAAGCATTTTCAAGACGTTCTCATGGGCATAACGTAGTTTTTTCCTCTGAGAAAGCGATCAGATGGTCAAAAGGGATGTGCAGGAACGTTCCACCTCCCATTTTTGCAGCCTCCTAGTCTTACACTTCCCTTAAACCAGGGAAGGCCCCAGGAGACCTGTTCTAGCAGGGCTGCTGCTGCCATTATGGAAAAGAAGTTCTCCTTCCCGTGAACAAATCACCCACTGTTTTCTCTGTCCCCAAAATTCAAGTGAGATTTTGAAAAATCCATTTGCATATTGCCACCAATACAAGCAGTTACCTCTCATGACTTTAAAGAAGAGGGTGCACGGAAGGGAGCATGAAGGTGGAATAGGGGAAGAAGAGGGAGGACAATACTGCGCCTTCCTGCCCAATTGACAAGTCTCCAGCAGCAGGTTTTCCCAGGATGTCCCAGCTCAGATGAGGATATGAAAGGAATAAAATATATTCCTTAGCCTTAACCTGGTGTAAGCCCATTGCTCATCTAGATGGCAGCATCTAGCAAACTTTGGCTGATCTTGACAGGCTAAGCAAGGTCAAACATGGTTAATACTTGGATGGAAGACCACCATCCCAGGCCTGTGAGCCAGACCAGAAGGTCAAAGAGACATCCCAGAAGAAAGCAATCGCAAGCCATTTCTGTATGGTCATCATGAAAACTAGGTGGATGTGTCCATGGAGTCACCAAGGGTCAAGTTCAACTCAAGGAGACTTGACTTTTTACCTGGAGTAACCCATGCAAAAGAAGTATCTCCCAATCCAGCAAGAAAAGACACAAAAGCACATACACACGGATTGCAACAGTCATGGAACTACAGGTGTGTCAACCTACCAACACTGGTGATTTTCTGGGAAGCCAAATCTTGCAGCAAGATTCCAATCGCTGGGTTGTGCCTGGAATACAGTTCGTACCGATTAATGCCAATGTGGAATTTGAGCCAGTTTGGGTAGGAATCAATCGATGTTTCCCCTGTGGGTAGAAAGTCCTCATCTTCATTGCCTTCATTTTGCCTGCCAAAAACAAACAAGAGAGAGACAGTACAGAAGGTTGGGTTTTGTCCACATGCCAGCAATGCATTTTGCAATCCATTGGGAATGGGAGGAGATGGGTGCCAAACCTAGAATGGTGCTCTAAATAGGTCAAGGTGGCATTCTTTTCTACTTTAGGAGTCCAGGAGGTAGCCTGGTATTAAGGGACACCATGGTCTATCTGATCTAAATCACTGATGCTGATTGCTTGTTCATCATGGACCACGACTTCTGCTATACTGCAAACACTGCATCAGAGCATTGTGCTATTCCAGGACCCTCTGTACCTTTTGGCTTTTAAAAGATGGGATTGTATCTGCTCTAATGAAGAAAAATCCCCGTCTATAGACAACTAGCTCTCAGCCTTCTGAAGTAGACCAGGTCAGGAAATAGACAGCACAAGGATTTCAGGAATGCTAGGCTGGGGAATTCTGGGAGTTGAACTCCACATATATTAAAGTTTGAAAAACACTGTGGTAGGGTATAACAGCAGAATCTTGAAAGCCAGAGTATGCTCTGCCCCATCTTATACCAAACAGAATCAAGGGAGGGTTATTTTGAGTATCTTTCTCATGCCTTCTACTTTTCCAGGACTGAGTTCTATTTTCCCTTAATTGTTCCTGCATACTTCTTCAAGATTATCTCTGCATTCCTCTATATTAGCATAGTATAGATAATCCTTGTTTAATGACCACAATTGGGACCGGCAATATGGCCGTTAAGCGAAGCAGTTGCTAAGTGAAACCACAACCATGCTTATGATCTTCCTTCAGCTTTCCTTTGCTTTATAGACTTGCTAAGGTCGTAAATGTGAGGATTGGTTGCAAAGTTACTTTTTCATCGTCATTGTAACTACAAATGGTCGCTAAAGGAGGCAGTTGCTAAATGACTACCTATAGGGAGAAAACCCCAAACGTCTTCTTGACATACTGCACATGAGCTAACAGAAGTTGCAGCTACCTAGATTTTATCAATATAAGGAAAATGTTCCTGATAGTAAGATCTGTAGAAGAGTGGAACTGTGTTCCTGTGGAGGTTGTGGGATGGACATAAGAACATAAGCAATGACCTGCTAGATTGGACTTGTGGCCCATCTAGTCCAGCAGTATGTTCTCATAATGGCCAATCCACTGCACAAGGAAGCCCGCTAGTCTCCCAGCAGATGTCCTTCAGAGGCAGTCCCACTGCCATCAAGGCTTCTCCATCTCTTGAGTTTTTAAGAAGAGCCTGGGCAGCTATCTCTCATGGATGGTTGAACTGGTTTTCCTGCACATTGCCGAAGGCTGGCCTAGGTGATCTTTTGTGGCCCCTTCTACCTCCACAGCTTTTATGTTTTTACTGCTTCTCAATCTGCAGTGTGCCCATTTGCAATCTAAAGCGGTCCAGCCCAGGTCAGGAAAAGCTGTACCCCTGGATACCACCTTAAAATGTCAGGGGATATTTGCTAGAGGACCTGGGGGAAGCGGCTTCTTACTAAACCTATACAGGATTGTCCTGTAAGGAATGAAACTGGTCCTAAGAAAAGGAGCTCAAAATGAAGTAGGCAGTTGCCCACAGACTAGGCTCCTTCCACCCATAAGGAGATGGAAGTCCTTATGAAATCATTCCAGAGCATCCTGGTTTGCATCTCTTTTTTCAAAAAGATCAACAAGTATCCAAATATCTCATCTGCTTCCTGCCCTGCCAAGAAATTATGGCATGTCGGGAAGCGACTATTTAAACAGAAGGGTCTCAGTTTCTTAGGAAGAGAAATCTGTTCTGTTAAGAATCAGCTATTCATATTTGAAAGCATGCCAAGTGCAGAGCGATCCAACTCGACGCTTACATGAGTGTGTGTTTACACCAAGACAGAAGCTTCTAACAACACGGCCCCAAACCTCGGTCATACCCAGGAGAACTCCAATGCTCAGAAATTCTGACTCAATTCACATCACGGGATGAACCCGTTCAGATAAACTACCAGGCAGATGCAATCACACACAGGCTAAGTTGGGTTAGACTTCATGTTGGCTAGTTTTTTCATCTTCTTTTGTGGCTTAAGGTCTTCTTTACAAAACCGGTTCTGCTGAGCCAGTTTAAGGCTCAATGCATTTTGCCAAACCAGAAAATGGGTTTACTCAGCACATGGTGGGAATTCAGCCACAAACTTCAGCAATCCATAGGTGCTTTTTCTTAAAAAAATGTGACCTTTGATATCTAACCTCCTGTTTGCAAGGGGGAGTTAATATTTGACTGTTCTGCCCTTCATGCTCTCTTTTATGTATGTATATTTAACTGGTTGGTTTGGGACAAGAGAATCCACTTGGTGGGGTTCTAGCTTTTAATGTCATTGCTTTGAAAAGCTTTCATATTGTCTTTGAGTCCAAAAGGGTGCAGGAACTGACGTGCACAACTACCAGACATGAAAAGTCATAAACGATACAGAGAGTGGAGAGAAACAACTCCCAAATATCACAAGAGCTTTTGGAGATTACTTGGAAGCTACATCAGGTACAGAATGTGGTGGCCAAGCTACTATGGCGCAAACCTATGTTGACATCACTGCATTGATTGCTAGCAGGCCTCTGAACCCAACTGAAAGAGTTGGTTATCCTCTGTAAAGCCATATACTGCATAACAGCACGATATATCAGAAACTGCCTTGCCCAATGTGACGTGGCTTATCCAGTCAAACATCTAGAGGAGGTCTGCTGAGGGTCCCACCTCACGGGAGCTACATGAGCTCTGAGCCAGGGGCTAGGTCTTTTCAACGAAACCCTCCACACTTTGGAATATACCCTTCCCCATGAAGATATATTTGGTCTTGATGCTCCTCACATTTCAGAAGGAGGCAAAGAACATCCTGTTCAAGCATTGCTTTGACCTATGAGGATGGTGGACAACTCTCAATTATTGCACTGTACTGTATCTGGAAGATTGATTTTTGTTTCTGATATTGTTTGGGTTTTTATTCCCTTGGGGTTCACCACCCAGAATCTAAATGATTTGGACAGGTTACAAATATTATAAATGAACTAAGTAAATAAAATGCAACCTATTATTCCAACAGCAGAACTTCTACCAAATAATCAAAGGAACTGCGCTGTTCCCATATGGTTTATCTCTCCCTCTGTTTCCTCCATCACTTAGCATGTCCAAATGTAGACTGGATTGCCTTTGGGGATCAGCATAACAGCTAACAGTCCCATTCGGTGTTCAAAAACCAACCTGGTTTTTGAAGCTATCTGCCTTGTTTTAGAAAAATAAGGTTAGAGTTATGTCTGTAGGCTCTCTTCTGAAGTTGATATTGAATTTGGTGGGACGATATGGGATGTTTTCAGTTCTTTAACAAAGTCTTGTTCCAGGGTAACCAACCTAGCATGGTGAATGCCAACCTTCATCACCACAGTTGATGGCAAGGGTTCATTCAATTATTATTAGATTCATGGGTGGATGCAAATTTAAAAAATGGTTGGAATGATTTCAAAAGAAGCATATCTCAGCCTGATCCTGTCAGTAATGGTCCAGCCCACTGGCTTTTAAAACAGAGCACTCAGACAACCTTGTTCATAAGTTGCAGTACCTAAGATGCCAGTTTGGTTTGAAAGAGAGATCCTTCAGAAAGAAATAATACGTAGGCAACTATTCTCTGATGGCTAGATTCCCAAATTATACATTAAGCTATGGTTTCAACCATGACTTCTTGGATTGTCTCTACAGGTAGCAGCACCTGAATGACTACATCTGAGTTTGGAAGCTAAGTAGGGTTGGCCCTGGTTGATACTTGGAGGGGAGACCTCAAGGGAACCTAAAAGCTGTAAAGGACTTTGAATTAGCCATAGTAACCCAGTTCATGCCACCATCCTAAACCACAATTAAAGCATCCCACAGCAGAACCAACCAAAGTACACTGTGGTTTAGTGTTGGGTGTAAACCCAGCTGATAGATTGATGCTTGGAGATGTTAACTTGCATCTCCCTGACCTATTCTGATATTCTAAATTAGATTAAGTCGCTTCCAACCATTCTCTTATAAGGCAACAAATGGATCTCCTTTAGTGTCTTTGGGTACACACCCTTACGAAGCTAAATCACATGTCCGTGATACATTTGAGATCTTAATTATGCTTGAGACAAGAACCTCTAGGCCATGGTGAAGCATTTGATTTATTTCAAAAGTTAATAAGCTCCTTTCAGAGCAGGGAGTGGTAACCTGAGGACACCGGGCTAACAACTCCTGAATCCACGTTAGTTTTTATTTTGCGAACCGAATCCTGGCTGACCACAATGATCGGAAATTGATTTCTTTGTCATTTTGAGGTGAGAAGCACAAACCTATCAGTGACTGCCCTAAAATAGACTGAGCCTAGTTTTAAAAAAACAAACAGCTCTCTTCCTCCAAATTAGAGAGAGAGAGACAGAAGACAGAAGCATAGTTTGGTATACGTCTACAACATGGCACCACTCTCTTTGCACCATCATCTGCCTTCTGCAATTCCTTCCCTCTGCAAAACTTAAGACAACGTGCCCAGATCTGCGCTGCACAATTTTGGTTGGCCAACAGAGGGCAGCATTGATATACGGAAAACTCTGAATTGTTGCTCCCATCTCCTGGCTACCCACATTTTTGCAGCTTCCATCCGGCAATGGGACCAAAAATGTTAAACCCACCAGTGAGTGACCCAATCAAGGCCATGCACCACAAAACATAAACCCACAAAACTCTTTCAGCCCATGTTTTATACCTCCATGAACCATCAGGAAGGGTAAAAGTAAAATAATCAGGGAAACAGAATTCCTAGAGAAACTGTGTATCAGCAAGACCACTCTAGGCACTCATCTCTATGCCAGCAGTGAAGATTAATCCTCTCTTCCATGTTCACACATGCATGGCTGAACAAGGAAGGTTAATTTAAGCCCAAACTACTTCAAGAGTGTTTGTGCTTTAAAATAATTGTCTCTAACCCCGGTACTGACTAGATTACATGTTCCACATGACACAAT